ATATTTCAGCTAATCTCGTTGGGAAAAAGGATGGCCCTGTCACAGTAGTTCTTATAAAACAAAACCAGCCATGGGAATAAGGGACTTTCTCTTTTCTAAAGAGCATCCCTTACAGTCTATTAACATTGATTTTTCCCCAGTTATTTTTACTGTAGTAAAATACACATAGCAGGAAATTAACCAGCTTAACCATTTTTTACATGTACAATTCAGTTTATTACTTACATTCATATTGACATGGGTTTTTGTCTTCAAAGGTAAATGATACATGAATGTGTACAGTGGTCCTCAGCACACATGAGACAAACTCCATTTTCGGGATGGTGATTGCAGTGGCAGATGTGGGGAAAGACGGGAGTTGGGGAAGGAGCACAGGGGGACTTGAGTTTTATGCAGAATGTTTTGTTTCTTTTCAAAGAAATGATGGATCAGCTATGGTAAATGTTAAGATAACCAAAATGAGTTATTAAGTACAGAGGTTTATTTTATTCTGACCTAATTTTAGACTTGCAGAGAAGTTGCAAACAGAGTATTCAAACATCCCTCAGCCCAATGTTAACATTTTAACACGAACATAATCAGAACAGGAAATTACGTTTGGTATCACACTATTAACTGAAATACACATATTGAAATCTCCCCAGGTTTTACATTAATGCCCTTCATCTATTCCATAACCCTATCTAGAATCCCGCAGTGCACGTTATTTCTCCTTAGTCTTCTGCAGTCTGTGGCAGTTTCTCAGTTTTTCCTTGCCTTTTCTGACCTTGACACTTGACAGTTATTCTGTTGAATGTCTCACAATTGGGGTTTGTTTGATTGTGTCTCACTATTAGGCCGAGAGTATGCATTACTGGCAAGAGTACCACAGAAATGATGTTGTGTCCTCAGAGCATCATATCACAGGGCCCATGATGTTTATTTTTGTATGGTTAAAAATATTTCATAATTTCATAAAATGAAGAACAAGAAGCTGTATTAGTCTGGATTCTCCAGAGAAATAGAACCAACAGTACAAATATTTATGTATGTGTATATACATAAACACACACACACACACACACACACACACACACATGAATTTTGAAAAGGAGGTTCATCTTAATGAACTAGCTTACACAATTATGGAGGCTGAAAAGTCCCAAGATCTGACATCAGCAAGCTGGAGACCCAGGAGGGCCGATGGCATTGTTCTAGTCAGAGTCCAATGGCCCGGGAAGCAGGAATGCTGACCATGTAAATTCCAGTCCAAGGCCTGAGGCCTGAGAACCTGGAGAGCTGAAGATGCCAGATCCAGTCTGAGCACAAAGACAAGAGAAGACCAAGGTCCCAGCTCAAAGACAGGAAGAGAGAATTCTCCCTTCCTCAGTTTTTTGTTCTATTCAGGTCTTCAGAGGGCTGGACAATGCCCCACCCACACTGGGGAGGGCCACCTGCTTTACTCAGTCTAAGGATTCCAATGTACATCTCATCCAGAAACACCCTCCCAGACACACCCAAAATAATGTTTAACCAAATAAATATCTGGGTTAACCGATATAGGCCCACTCAGATTAACACATAAAATTAACCATAACAGCAGCTTAATTTCTAAATTATAAGCTTTTCAAATCCCATCAAGTCAAATGGATTTTAGGAAGTGGTCCAAATTTTAAGGTTACCATTATCACTGGCTTCAGGCCTAAAACATTGTAAATTCATGACATACTATCATTTTAAAACCTCAAGAGGCTTTTATTATGGACGATTTGCTTCAAGAGAAAAGGTAATGAGGAGCCAGCTTAAGCTATTTAGATAATATGACTTCGATCCAAGAGAAGCTCGGCCAGCAAGTCAAATCGGCCTTAAAGAAATTAACGCAAGGGTATTGTTAATGAAAACCAAATCCCCTGACCTGTTATGAGAGGTGAAAGCCAAGTTGCCTTGCAGAACTGACCACACTCTGCAGGTGGCATCCTAAGGGTGACTTGCGTCACTGCTACTTCCAGGAAAGAATATCTGAATGACTACATATTGAACTATTAACAGTCAGTTTCCTTTTTTCGGGGGCAGAAGAGGAGCTTTGGGGACTTTTACTATTTGAGCTGCGTATTTTAAAAGAAATGTAAACATGTATGTTTAAAGCCATGCCTCTTTTTGATATATAAAAAATGTATTGTTTCTTTTAATGCTATTTAAAACTTGAAAAACTTTTTGAAAAGCATAAAGCAAAAACAAGTCTAAGCAATGTTAATATAAGAATATGCTTTTCCGAAGCACACAAGCACTGCATCCCTAGGAAACTCTGAGTGGGCGCCCTACTCCCTTCCTAAAAATGACCGGACTGACTAGACAGTCTCCCACTGCCTCACAGTTTAGACCAGACTGGAGGCTGCTGCAGTGACAATGACCATGGTAACTGCTCATAGAAAAGGCTTATTTGGTTTAGTCTATGCAACTGAGAGCCTTCGGTCCGACATGAGGACCCACATCTGTCTTCAAAATCGCATACCTGGAAACGGACAAGGACAGATTTTCTATCTCCACCCACAAAGTACCCACTGAGAACACCTCGGCAGTGAAGGCAAAGTGACCAGACTGGATCACTGGGGAGCTATGATCTGACCCATCCCCAAATAATTGCATGATGCCGCTGGAACGGAAGGGTTAATGACAGTGGCTAAGGGAAGGGCAGCCTGGGAGGTGAGAGGGCGTGGTGAGCAGCAGGGATGCCCAGGGGAAGAAGAAGACAAAAACAGCAATTCTAGAGGGACCAAGACACTTGAGTTACTGAAGACGCAGTCAAGATAATGTTAGGAACAAGGAGAAAAGAAAAAGAACCAACTAGCGGATCTGGTGTTCTTAAAAAATGCTGATTTAATCTCAGGAATAAGGCAGAAGCTGAAAATCTCAAAGAAGAAAATGTGGTACTTAACAATGCATTCCTCCAAATTATTCCACATCCATTTTCATTTTCTCCCTTCCAACATCACAGAACAATATATTCCTTTTATTACAACCAACCTGCCTTCCCATGCCAGGGACCCCGCCCTTACTTTCTCCAAACGAAGCAGCCAACCTTTATATGTGAAACTCTCCCCAGTACTGACTCCTTACCTCTTTTTATTTGGAGGTGTGTACAGAAACTGACTTTGACTCTGCATCCTCCTCTCGCTTTCTCATTCAGACACCGCAAAAGTACAGTCTGTGTCCACCGTTCCTACTTCCTCTCCCCCCATTCATCCCTCGACCCAGTGCAAACTTTTGGATTCCATCCTCATCAAAGCCAAGCAATAATTTTCATGCTGCCATGTCCATTGGAAGTTTAATTTTGTTTGTTTTAACCATGTCAGGTATTTCAATAGACTTTGAATTGCATGGAAGAGTGCCTGATAAATGAACATCACCACCCTAGTACAGGCTTACAGGATAAAAATCCAAGTTCCTGGGAGCGGGGAGGGGGAATGGCTTCCATGACCTCAGTGACTCCTGCTTGACCTCTCCTCTCCACATGACTGGCTGTTTCGCACCCAGGGTCCCTGCTCATGCTGTCCCCTCTGCCTGAAAGGCCCTCTTCCCCCAGCCACACCCCCAATTTTCGCCTAACTTCCACTTATAAACGCATCAGAAGCAACCTCCTGAGATCTCAACCATGGCTACACAAGCACCGTTTTGTTCTTCCGCCCCATTATTTTTAAGTTCTGTTGCTGCACTTACCTCTCTGTGCTATAACAGCGTGCTTATGTCCACCTCACCAAATAGGCTCTAAATTTCCTTGAAATAGGAAGCATCTTAGACATCTACGTGAGGAGAGGGAAGTAAGCACCACTGTGGAAGCAACCATCCTTCACCCTCAAGAGGAATCTTCTTCAGCCCAGGATGGTGTGGTAATGGAATATTCTGGAAGCAAGGGATAGGTCTTGTGGCTTTCTACGTCTTTTTTCTCTTTCCATTTTTCTGACTATACTGTGGATCTTTGTGTTGCCATGGCAACCAACAGTCCAGAACACAGACCTCTAGCTGTTATCCTTTTAGCCACGGAGACACAGGAGCTGAAGGATTTTGAACATCGAGTTTAAGGCTAAGTTGGTAGCACGTTTCACACAGCAGCCACCAGGACAGAGAACAGCAGCGCCCGCCCTGTGCAGGTAGGTGTCTGTGTATCCTCCTTCCCTGCCCTCCCCGCCCCCCGCCAACTTACTGGGCCATGGTAAGAAAAGCTGGACAAAAAAATGCCATCAGATAGTGGGAGGATGTCATCTAAATGACTCTCACCCTTCTGGAAGCAGTTTGGTATCAACTGTCAGGAGCCTTTAATATGCTTGTGATCTTTGATCCACTCAACTCACACACAGGAATACAAAGACAAAGATTTATTGACAAGGGGGTTTACTGCATATCTATTAAAAACAATAACCACCACCTAATATTAATAAGAAACTGGTTGAAAAATGAGAGAATTCCCAAATATATGTTTATTATAGGTTATGCCATAAAATAATCTGTTTCAATGGATGTGACATTCATATCCACATATGTATGTGAATGGGAGTATGTATATGTACAAATGTGTGTACATATGAAAAGAAAAAATTATAAGGAAATCCACCAAAATATTTTTATGAGATTATCATTATCTTTGAACAAAGGGAATTTACTTTCATCTTTGTATTTTTTATATTTTTCAAATTTTATACAATGGTAATTTTTCTTTCATAAGTTCTCTCAGCCGCACTAAGACAGATAATGTGAGGCATCAGGCAAAGATGCTTAGTAGAAGGACTGTTATATGAAGATAGATTTTTAAAGGGGGCGGGCTGTCTCTTTTGCCTTTCACTGGAGATTGCAACACAGGATGAACTTCTATCAGAGTGGGATAGTTCCAAATGGAAAAAGGAATGGATAATGTTACTGCTTACATGCACAGACAACCCTCTTCATCTTAACCAATCTCATGCACTTTTTCTTTCTTTTGAAGATTGCTGAGATTAGGGAGACCTCACATTTGAGCCTTTGAATCCATGGCGGACTTGCTCTCCAGCAGCAGCTGTGTTGACTTAGAGGACCGCAGCTCTGTGTCAAGCCTGAGCCTCTCTGTGGGCTACTACCCTGGTGAGGACACCTTCTCCTGCCAGAACACAACCTCCTATGAGAACACATTTGCCGAGGGGCCCTCAATCCATTCTGTCCCTCCTTTCCAAGGGTCGTGGCAGACTGACACTGTAGGGAGACTCCTGGAGAGACAAGACCACATTCAGGACAACCCAGAGCAGTTCTGCCAACTAAGCATCACCCTGGCCTGTGGTACTGACATGAGCTCTGACCATTCAGACTCCATCATCAGCTGGGGTCTCCATGGAGACAACCTGTGGATAAACAAGTACCCCGAAGAGAAGACACAACTGACACTCAGTAAACTCAATGGTCTTGTGCAAAAGCTTGAACAATTTCTAGAAAATCAGAGAGATGACAAAGATGATGAGTCTGTGTTCCCTGAACCTGCTCAAAAGAAAGATGTGCAGCTGTTCAGCAGCACCTCCCTGGATATGGCGCAGGTCAGTCATCAAGAACATGACCCTTGTCAAGGCTTGCCTGTGCTCAACCCACAAGCAAATGAGGTCGTCATCCAGTTCCCACAGGTTCCTCCAAGGATTCAGGAACATGAACTTGGTCAGGTGAGCCCAGAGATGCCTCACAGGCCAGCAGAGGACAGGCCTGATGGAGGGGCCAGGGAAAAATGCAGGAAGCATTGCTACCTGCCATGAAGCAGGGTGGCCCTCTGGGTGTCTCCCACAGCCAGGAGTGGGAGACAGATAACAGCAAGGAAAGCGGTCAGGGTGGAGTTGAAGGCAAAATATTAAGCACCACTGAGGGAGAGAAAAGGACAGGAAAGCAAAGCAAAGCAAAGGCTAACAACCATGACCACAATAAAGTGTGTGTGTGTGTGTGTGTGTGTGTGTGTGTGTGTGTGTGTGTGTGTGTGTGTGTGTGTGTGTAAGTACAGTATTAATGAGCATGGGAACTTTGTGTTGACAGTTGGGTTGTTTTCTGGTAAAAGGATTTGAGCCGCAAAAATGAGTAAATATCCATATTTACTCAAAAATGAGTAAATATCTATATACTACACATACCTTACTCATCACTTGTTTCCTTGGCAGACAACAAGCCGAAGCAGTGGCAGCCACAGGACAGGCACTGCGGAGACCTCCCCGAGCTCATCAGATCAGCTGGAGGAGGGGGACAGGCATTCCAGCACACAAGCCCTCTCCTGGCTGAAAGTCTGGTGGGCCTTCCGCTGGCTCAGGCAGAAAGTCCTCTCATTTTGGGGAAGACAGCACCCCCAGAAGCCCACCGAGTACCCCTGCCTGCTGACACAAAAGAAAAGACTCTCTCACAGAAGCAAGAGAATCCAACCTCAAGAATCCATTGAATTAGAACACCCTGTGTTGCAGGATTTTGAAACTTGTTGACTGCCCCTGTTCTTCGATCCCCGTGAGTCCATTTTGCCCCAATAAACAAAACCCATATTCTTGTTATCCGTGCCTTCCTCCTCCAGCTCACCACCTGACTCAGGCTGAAAGTATACATGTTATCTAGATAGTCTCCTGGAACTTAACTTTAAGGAGTAGTATTCTGCCTAACATGAAGGCCCTCTTCTTCTCTCCTCTCCCTCTTTCTTATTGTATTTAACTATTTTACCATTAACCTAAACCCCTGCTTTCAGAAGGCAATGGTACAGCCCATCATATTCGCAGCTGGGCAGTACGGTTTCAGCTGAACTTCTGGGGCTCAAGCAAGTGGCAGCAGGATTGAGTCACCGGGAAAACCTTCAGCTGTGCTTCAGGTGTTGAGACAGAGGTCCTGATGCTCCCTGGGGACCTGGCTGGTTCCAGCATGTGCTGCCTTGATTATAAAATAAGTGGCCCATTTAGGAGCGATGTGAGGACTGGGAATGCTGCTTACCCATTCTCCCTCATCCGTGACGTGGGAAAGATAATGATGCAGACTCAGAGGGCTGTTGTGAGAATAAATGGGGCAACACAAGCACTTCATAAACGTTGTTATTGTTGTTGTTGTTGCTATTATCTGTTCTCCCAAGAAGCCTTCATCCAAGGGACATCCAAGAGCAAGAGTTTAAGAGTAAATTTTCATTGATATATTTCCCACATAGAAGCAGCATTTATCCAAAGTTGTGGGTTTCAACATATCTTGACTCAACCAGGTCCCCTCCCAGCCCATTCCCCACTGTGACCTCTGAAATCCCTTTATAACTGTCATTCATGTCAACTTCCTTGAACAAGGCTGCACGTACTCACCCTTCTTACCCTGACCCCTCCCCATTACTGTTCCTAACTCAGCTCCCGAGTTTGTACCCCTGCCGTCCTCCTCGATCCCCACAGGTGCTCAGAACTCCCCTCCTTCAGTTTCCGCTACAATCCATATAACCTTCAGAGTTCACATGGTAAAGTGTGTAATTCTTCAGTCTCACATTCCTTCCCTCAATTTCAATTTCCTTCTCCCCTTCCTCCCCTTTTCCTTCCTTTCTGCCACAAATATCTACACGTAGGAGTGCCAGGTACTCTTCTGGCTTACCCAAAGCAGATAAAAACAAACTCAACCAGCGGGCTCCAGTGGCTTATCATTTAGGAGATAAAGCCACACGAACACAGGACCATAAAAGGGTGTGGGAGAGAAGAGTCTTATGAGGTAAACACTGGCTACTGAAAAGCAGTCCATTCAAACATGGGAGGGAGATTTTAAAAGGTTTTACATGCGGTTTCCTTGAGTAACAAATGTGGTTAGTTGAAGGCAGTGGAGAAACTGGTGTGGAGGTAAAGTGGGCGACTTGGGCTGGTTGTGTGTGAGAGACAGTGGAGAGGATGTTGCCCAAGGACAGACAGGACAGGGAGAGGGCAGAGACCCAAGAACAGGGCCTTCTCAGAGACGGATGCCCCTGGCCACACCCCGAGTCTCTTCACGCCAGGCTCCTCACTCTACCCACCTCTCTGAGCACATCTTTCCATTCAACTAGCTCCTCTGCCTTCACTTGCCGTCTGACCTCACCGAGACTGTGAGGCCCTTTACTGCACCTGTTCTAAGACGTTCATTCACTTCCTTCCAATCCAGCATCTGCCCCTCCTTCCCGAACTGCAGCATATCCGCCGCATCTAGTTGCATTCACAATGCCTTGCTCTCTTCTTCTCCTAGATCTTTTTTTAAATTATATTCACCTAAATCCCCAACAGGACACTCCTGGCCAACACCCAAAACATAGGGCTTACCTTCTCCACCCCCTGGAGACGTTTCCCCATCACCTTCTCAGTTCCCCCACTGCCCTGGGAGCTTGTCCTTAAAGCCTCTGCTCTGGGGTCACTATGAGGCCAAGTCTGATCCCTCTGGGTAAAGCTGACCGTGCCTTTCCTTAAACTGGCCCCAGTCCCCACTCCGCCACCCTCACACCATGGCTTGGACTTCTCAGACCTCTCTACATGACTAATTCACCTATACTGGGCTCTGGCCTCTTGAGGGCAAGCACCAGGCCTTAGTTCTGCAAGACTGTAACACTGTATCTGGTACCAAGTTATCTCTCCACCTCTATGGGACCAGCAGTGTTAAGAGCAGGAACGGCGTTGTGAGAAGTGAGGGGTGAGTGGCAGGAAGAAGAGAAAATGGCAATTGTGTAAGGTCAAGTGAGGTGGTGATGAGAGGCAGAGAAACCTAGGACCAAGGGAATTCAGCGACTAATTTGAAAATGTCATTCAATGACTAACCATGGAGCCTTCATGTTGCTTCAGACCTGGCGCTGTGGCATGCCTAAAAGGAAGACGGTATCTTCCGTCACAGCACACACGGCCACAGTTTTGCTGTCATTTTAATTCCATCTCTCATAATTAAGTCAAGCTCTAAGAAACACGCAACTAAAATGCACGGTTTTAAAGACTGCCCACACTAAGTAAGTAAACCCTGCACATTTCTCAGTGTTGTAGAAACCTGCTGGACAAGTATGAACCTACCTCTGTGAATCAAGCAATGTACTTTCCAAGCCCTTACAATAAATATTCCTTGCAAAGAATTAAAATGCTAAATATTCTTTGGCGTTGTCACGCTACAGCTTAGAATGTGAGTCAAAGTATTTAAAAACAGAAAATATTTCAAAACTTTCTCATTTATTATGGCGTCAAATACAGTATGAAGCTATCAGCTGCATGCCAACTGGGAGTAGGTTCCCTGCTTCATGCCGCACACACAGGGCTGGGCTGGAGGAGGTGCGCTACACATCGAGAACACTGGAAGTAGTCATAGAAAGACACTAGCTTTGCTGTAACCTCAAGCCTCTGGCAGAATTATTATACTTGCCAGGCACATGCTAATCTAATAAATCAGTAAGTTTTGGGGATCCACTGTCTCAAGACCCAAAACTGAAATGATTCCTTCAAAGTGAACTGCTCAGCCTTGTAGCCTATAAAGCTCAGCTGCTTGAATTAGCGAGGCACCGCCTACGTTCATATTCCAGACCCAACGACAATGCCATAAGACACCCAGAAGCAGAGTGTGAGAACTCATTGAGGAAACGCAGGGAGTATTCAGCTCTCACTGAACACAGAAATGGAATAAGCTAATGTGAATTTTATAAACCACCCCATACCAAGCCTTACTTAGCAGGATCCCAGTGAGAAGGGAAAAACTGGTATGAGATCATACCACACCAGCAAAACAGAGACAAATCATTTTGCCAGACTTTAAGGACACAATGTGAAAATTCATGGCTAAGAGGATGCACAGGCCTGGGTCTACTTATCACAAAAAGAGAGTCCAAAATCCTCTTACAAAACACTGAAAAGAAAAATGAAGCAAATTATAAATGAATTCATAGATTGCCTTATAAGGTCTTCACCCTAATATTTAAAAAGGAGTTTTGTTTATGTAGGATAGGTAGTTAAGTGCTTCAAAAATAAACATCTTTTCATTTCATTATGAACTGCAAGTGGGAGAACTTACATTGCATGCAGGGTACTCTCTGATTTCAAGATGGATGGGTGGGTTTTATATTGCATTTTTGCCTAAAGTCAAGCTTGTCTGGCTACCCCCTAAGACCCCGACAGAGAACAACACTGCTTTCAAGGGTGAAATAAGACCCTCATCAGATAGCACCAAGTCACTGAGTGAGCCAGTCAGGAGCAGGGTAGGTATAAAAGCCTTAGGATAAATTCCCGAAAGGATTAGAAGCCTAGATCAGGAAAGCTCCCTGCTAAACAATTCCTGTTTACCCTCCTACCTTTCAAAAGAATGCCATGGTTTTGATGCCCATTCGATTTCAATCGAATAAGCCTCATAAAGAACTACTTCTGAGGCATTTTCAAACGAGAAGGTAAGCATCAAATACTTGTTCAGATTGTGACTGTTGTATGAAAATTCTTCCCATTACTGTTGAATTCTCTAGTGTAGAAGGAAATAAGAATGGCAATTTGTTTTTCCTCATCTGCATCCATAAAGGTTATTTTAAGTGCAAACCCCCAAAACTAAGCCTTCATGCGTGTGCATGCACCCCTCCTACCCCCCACTTCCCTCTCTCTCTCAACTTTCCTGTACACACACTAGAAAAGTAAGAGGAGACACTCTGCACATTAGAAATGTTAACATATGTTTGCACAGTTGTTCTGAGTTTCAGTCTCACCAACTCCCCTGCTACCTGTCTTCAGGGCCTAAATATTTTTCCCAAACAGGGATGGATATGAAAAGGAGAATTTTTCTCCAGTAAAGGGACTTCAAAAATTCTCTGAGCACACTATTGCAAACCACCAACATAACTGATACACGTACAAATCAAAAGTGAATTTCAAAACTACTGGGGGAATACTGGGAGGTAGGGAATGAGATATGCATATGGTCTCCATGAATTATTTGTCAGTTATCAAAATTAGGGACCTTTGCAATGGAGAGGTCCAGTGAACAGGAACCTAACCAAGGGATTAAAATCAGCCTAACATCCGATGGGGTACCTCCTGAAGCACCCTGAAGCAGCAGTGTGTTCTCGCTAGCAGTGTTTAAACGGAATCTGATCATTAGGAAACCACGTGAGAAGAACCCAGATGGAAGGGTATGCTTCCTCCCAGACAACTGCATTAGACTTTTCAAACATGTTAATGCCATGAAATGCCAAATAAGGAAAAACAAGAAAGGCAGGAAGATGAGACCATTCATAAAGGAGACTAAAGAGACATGACAACCAAAGGCTATTTATAATCCTCGACTGAATCCTTGATCAATGCACAAAACTATAATAAAAGGTATTTTTTAACAACTGTAAAGATCTAACTATGGACTGTATATAAGATATTTTCAAATGGTCCAGGAAAAAAAAAAGGAAATAGAAAATAAGAAAGCGAAGATGAAAAAACTATTAAGAAAAACACCATTAAGTAGGAAATCCAGATCTCTACTGTTAAGTACTATACTTGCTAGACTTGTG